TACAATATTTTATAATATTGGTTGTTTATATTCCTGTACACAGTATATCACAATTTTAATTTTCTATTTCCATCATATTGCGTGTATATGTTATGTATAAAATTGCTGTATGTATTTCATACTATATTTATATACACATAGCCTATATTTCTACTTCATTATGACAGTATAGTGATTAATTAACAATCACAATGAGTAGTTGTACTACAGGACCCATTATTTCTACAATATATATTGGCAGAAATATCTGTAATTATATAATGTAAACAGTTTGTTTTTTCTATTATTTGCAGTTGTTCCTTGTCTATTTCCAGCCTTTACAGTCCGCTGTGAATTTCTTCAATTAAGTTTGATTTTATTTTAATATTACCATTACAATAAAATTAAAACAAAAGTTAGTGATAATAATATTTTTTTATTGAAACTGGGTTCAGGTTACACAATACCTAAGAATTAAATAGAACTCAAATTAATCTAATTGTTAATTCAATTTTTGTCAACTTGTGGGCAGCACAACAAGTTGAAACAACCACATCTGACATTGGATGCGTTTGACTATCAAGTCGGCGAATGGCAACCACTGTCACCTCGAACGCACCTGTTGTTTCACAATATTAAGTTGATATGTTGAATGTGTTAACAAACAGCTGCCTATTTGAAAATCCAGCAGAAACAGAGCAAGGTCATCATCCCATTGGAGTCGTGTCTGTGTCCGCCTGATGAATGTGTGTCCAGTTTTCTCTCTCTTTTAGCTCTGTTTTTGGTCTCCACCAGCTCCTGAGGGAAATGTCTAGCTCTTTAGCTGCTAAAAGCTCCTTTATATAACTCTAACTGTGTTTACTGCTGAACAGGTGGAGTAGAGCTTGTTTATTTACTGAAAAACACAAAGGCTGGCCACACACACTGGAGGATAATTGGGCTGACTTTGGATCCGATTATCAGCCCAAATGATGAGGGGGATATGAAGGGTTTACAGACATAATCTTAAGGTCGCTGACTGGATCGGAGGCATCCTGATTTTGAATCGGGGAGCTGCCAATCAGAAACCCGCAACAGCCAATGAGAGTGAGCTTGACGGGAAGCGTCACCAGCGTGTTGTATAATTCCTCACACTAATGTATAAACCTGCTGATTCCTTCTTCTCAGCCTCGAGTTCATCCACAGTTCGATTCTCTTTCTTGTTTTTCTGTGCAAAACACAGCGCACACACAAGTACAACCAGCTGACGGCAACAGTCTGCCTCCATGTTTTTATTTATGTCTCAAGTCATGTTTGATGGTGCTAGATTCTGTGAGATCCCAAGTCCCCGGAACCGCCACTCTGAAACCAGTAGTAGTATAAATGCCAAGTGTGTGGTCCTGCGTCTGGACTGAACCGTCTGATGTGTGTCATTCGGATGTTATGTCTGTGGTATCCCACGTTTTTCAAATCGGCTAAGATGTGATAATCCTCTAGTGTATACCAGGCATAAGGCAGAACCAGACCAGACAGTAGATGTGCTGCAAAACCATAACTAGGAGCCAAAAGAGGCTAAAATATTCTATAAAGATACAGTTTGTTGATGTAGCTCTGTGAGTTACAGGTGACCCCTGTTACAATACACATTGATCCATTGTTGCACAAATATCAGCACAATTATTAATTTTCTGTACTACTGCTACTTTCACTGTATTTTCTGTGTGGATATTGTGTTGGCTCGCCCTCAATTGAACTGAATTGAATAGAGTTCATTCTTGACTTTGGAAAAACCAGTTTGACAAAAAGAGCTGCTTCTACTTACCAGCATCATCCAGAGCTTTTAACCCCAAGTGCTAGTAAGTGTGTAGCATGTTTTACACTACAGTACACCAATTAAACTAAGTAAAGGTAAAAGCAATCATACTTACCACGTTAGCCAGAAGAAGTTTGAGGAAAAATATGTTTAAGCCACTGAGGATGACGGAGGTGAGAACAGAAAAGGATGCTCAAGGTGTCGCAGAGCCGAGGGATGTTCTTCACCTCTAGTGTTTCCCATAAGAGGACATCATCACTTACACACTGTGTGATTGTTTGCTAGGCTGCTTAGAGACCAACCTGTTGACATCAGAGACAGAGAGCTTTGTCAGTGTTGTTTCTGGGCAGTGTTGTGTTGACAATAAAGTTTTTCAGTCAACGCATGGGTGTGTGTGTGTGTAGTCTCAGGTTTCCCAGCTTGTAGTTAAATTACATTTCTGGTTAAAAGCCTATAGCAGCTGAGTTTGTAGTCAGTAGTGAGTAGTTTCAAGGTTTCTTCATGAAGACAAAAGAAGAGATTTTTGCAATCAATCAAGGCTTGAGGAAATAAACAGTTTCTGCCATTATAGAATTACAATTAAAAAAAAGAATTTTTGCAATATTTGGTGATAAAAACACAACTGGAAAAGCTTTGTGATATGTTGCTTAAAACATAAGCCACAACCTCAGTCTACTTCAGTTTTTATTTCATATTTATATTACATTTTCATTTATTTTATTCTAATTTATATATATTCTATCTTCCTATATTTTAAAGTTTACACTATTGATGTAGTTTTCTTACATTTTCTTTTTCTCATTTACTTGTTTGCATGAGCATTGTTGGAGGGAGACTGGGAACAAGAATTTTATTGCCACAATGACTTCTTCAGTGTGTAATAATAGTTCATATGACAAATAAAGAACATTACTTGAGTAACTTTTTTGACAACTCAGTATAGCTTTGCATTGAGAAGATATAACTTGCATTACACCCTTGCTATGATGGTTCCCAATAATATTTTATCCGTAGAGAAACTGTCATCTCCAATGTTAACAAAACGCTGACGTCTAGATCGCCTCGAGAACTATGTTGGTATCTCTGGCACTTCCCTATCATGTTTTTATCTGACTGGCAGAAGTTATTTGGTCAGTCTTGCTGACCATGTCTCAGACAAGCACGATATCCTTTCAGGTATTCTGCAGGGTTTGATACATGGATCTTTATTGTTTTATCTGTAGATGCTGCCACTTGGAAAAATTACCTGTGATTATATGCAGACAACACACAGTTATTTTTATCTGTTGCACTAGACAACTGCAATGATCTCGACCCCTTAGTGAATTGTCTGTCTTCCATTAAACATTGGATGAGTGAAAATGAATGAGGACAAGACAGAAATTCTTATAGCGATTGTTCACAAAAAGAAATGCTTTCTAATAGATTGAAATGTCTGGCTGTACAGAAAAAGAGTCTAGTCAAAAACCTTGGTGTCCTGATTGACTCTGATTTGGATTTTAAATCAAATTTAACAGTGTTACAAAGGAAATTTTCATTTAAGAAACCAAAAAGCCAAAACGTTGTTCCGAGCTTTTGTTTTTTCACGATTGGACTATTGCAATGCATTATTCATTGGTCCTCCCAAAAAGCATAGAGAGAGCAAGAGTTTTTAATCAAAACCAGAATGAGAGAACACGTCACTCCAGTTTTAGCTTCTCTGCACTGGCTTCCTGTAGCATTTGGAATTGATTTTATTGCTTGTTTTTTTTTAAAGCACTTCATGGTTTAGCACCTTCTTCTCTGTCTACCTGGATAATTTTAAGAAGCAGCTCAAGACCTACTTTTATGCTTTTTGCTTTTAACTGACCAAGCACTCTTTTATTTATGACTTTATTTGATTTTATAGCCCTGTCTGCTACCTTTTTCCAGTTTTAATACATGTGTTTTGTGCATGTGGCGTATGTGCATGCAATTGTATCATCTGCTTTATTTATATGTTACGCATTTAAGTGCTCGTGAATGTGAAAGTACTTTGAGCTGCATTTTATTTATGAAAGGTGCCATACAAAGACTGTAGATAAAGTAAATAGTAGATGTAAAATGTAGATATATGTGCATTGTTTGTACAAGTGTACTACAATGCACAATGTAAGGATGCGGTCCCTGAATTGAGACACAGCTTACTTACTAGTTTGGGTGTAGAATTCATGTTGAAGGGGCTGTTTTTACAGTCTGTGAAAACAAATTTCCTCATCTGAGGACAATAAAGAATAAATTTTTGAATTTGAATCTTGGTATTATTACTGTTATTATTATTATTACTGTTACTAAGTTCAGTTGCAGTTTAAATAATTAGCAGCACCTTGGAGTCATTGTTAATCTGCAAAATGACGCACAAAAAGACTCCAAATGCCTCAAATTGGGGGTTATCGAAAGATAATCTGCTTCTTGGGGGTAAAATAGAGTACAGTAGAGCAGAGTAGAACTTAAATGTCCCAGTGGGGCAATTCTACTTAAGCGAGTGTAGTCAATGAATTATAAATACAAAAAAGTAGGCCTACAATATAAAAAATCAAACATTAGTGTGCATATATCATGTATGAAAAAACAACAATAAATATAAAGTAAACAGGTTAACGCCAAAGTCACTGTTGTTGTAATCAAAACCATCAAGAGAAGTGGTGAAAAGCAGCCATAAACTAAGGGTCCACCCCATCACACATGCAGCTAGAAATGGGCCATGTTACAGGAATAAAAACACCTGTTGCAGCAGTTATTAGGGAGGTAAAACCGCTGATGCTGATTGGAGCAGAGAAACCCTGACTGAATGAGAGGACACACTAATCTGCTATATGAAACGTTTTTCAATCAAGAGTCCCTTTTGATTGATAGCAAACGATTATTCACAGGCTGAAGCTGAACTGAGAGTCTTTTCAGCTGTAATGTATGAAAAGGAGAAAAAGTTGGATTTCTGTATTTTTAAAAAAAAAATCCTGACTGATACTGAATTTAACATGTCAGGGGTCATGCATAGGAATTTGCAAACAATCAATAAACCAGCAACCATTAATGTTAATTTAATGGATACATTAAGGAACTACGTTGGGGATAAATACTAATTAAATACAATTAAAACACAATGTCAATTATACAAATACCGACTGCCATCTAGCGGTTGCGCTATTGTCCGTGCTTTTATTGTGAAAAACGGAGCTGACCGGAAATCGTGTCTTGACCGCGATTGGCGGCATCTTCTTAGAAGAAGTAATGGCGGCAGGACGAGGCCAGTTTATTAGTAGTTTTTTGGAGGGTTTAAAGAGGGCACCCGCACAGCCGGCTCCAGGTAGACCAGAGCCGGGTCGTGATAGAAGGAAACCGGGTCCGGGTAAAGGGCAGAAGCGCGGCAAGAGGAGAAAGAGGCCGCCAAAGGCAGCACTCTGCTCGGTTAGCAAGACTGATCCCAGGTGGGCGGCTAGCACCTCCACGGTGTTAGCTAACAAGTTACATTTCTGCCATAAAAAAAAAGCATTATTTACATTTTCGTGATATATTATTATTTTTTATTTGTATCTCAGATGCCCAGGAAAACAGAGAACATATTTCCCAAAAATGAAAACTTCTCCAACTGAGGAGGAAGCCCTGTTGGAAAGGTAAATTAATTAGCCAACTACTGTGGTCACGTTAGCCACTTTAGCTAATTAACGTTAACTTACAACTAACACACTTTTCTTGTATAATCCAATGCGATTTAAAGTATTTTTATTTTTATTTTTTTTAGGTCTATTAATGTCTTAGGTGGAAAATAAACACACCATGTTCAGTGATGCAGTATAAAGTTGAGGGGCCTATGTTCATGTGGTGGTTAAAGATGGGACCTGGAGAGGGTGTGAGGCTAAGCATTTGTAAACAAAAGCCAGTTTCCCCCCAGGAACTTTCCCCAGAGAATAGGAACCTTTGGACATGATTAAAACAGAGGACATTGTTATAATGGTGTGTCTTTAGACCATGGTGGAAATGCAGACAACTTAGGGCTGAAGGAACTAACGATTAATTTCATTAGTGATCATTAACCTAGTAGTTGTTTGGTCAATTAAATGTCAGAAAATGCTGAAAAATGTAAGTCAGTGTTTCCCAAAACCCAAAATATTCACATTTGAGAAGCTGGAATCAGAGACAGTTTTTCCTTTAAAAGGACTCAAAACAATCGATTATCAGAATAGCAGCTCTAGAAGGAACCTTGTATTTCCTTTGAAAAGTAGTTTCTGGGACTACAAATCCCTGGTAATTGGGCATGAATATCATTTAACATATTATTTATAGTAGTATAATTAAAATTGTGTGTGCACTGTGTTCCAGCTGGATAGTATTTGGATTTTGTGTGTGCAGTCTCTTCACTATGGCGGCAAAATTATTAGGAATGATGGAGAGTGAATGTGAAACAAAGTAGGCACTAAGTTAGTATGAGATTTTGGACATGTCCTCTTTCTCTTTCTGGCCACTGCATCTTCACTCTCCCCAATTTGCCTCCATCGTCTTCTTCAAACCAATATGTATTGGTGATTAGATAAACAGCCGTATTGTCTGTTTTGCCGTCTGTTTTTTGTAGTAATGGGTTGTTACTCTTTCTTCAGACTGCCGTCTGACATCCTGTTTAAGATCCTGTCATACCTGGACGCCTCCTCGCTGTTCTGCATCAGCCACGTCAGTAAGCTCTTCCACCAGCTGGCCAACAATGAGTAAGTCTGACACAGAGTCATCACAGTTCTTGTATTGCTTTTATTTCTTATTTTATTTTAAGTTTAAATTTAAGTAAAAACTGAGCTATGATTCCCGTCCTGCCCGAAAAAATGCCAGCCTGTAGTTCAGATCATATGGTGTTATCTTGTTATTCCATAAAATGCGTGGATATAGATGTAGACAACATTTAAAAGTTAGCTTTGCATGCTAATTCAAACAATAGTATGTGTCTCTTGTGTATGCGGCTGCATAAAGGGTAACACCGGAGCCGATATTTAGTCCTATCGTGTCCCTGTGTTGGTATTCTTTATGCAGGGTAGTGATATTTGTTTGATTCATCCTTTTCTTAGATTACTTTGTGCTCTACTACACAGTTCTTTATTCACATGGGTCATCAGTCCACAGTTCACACCCGTCATGCACTGATCAGGTGGCTGCAACCTGCAACCAACCAGCAACAAGCCGCTAGGGGCTGGAGAGAATTAAAAAAAGACAACAGAACGAGTAGTATCATGTTTAAAATTAAGACAATAGCGTTTATTCAGATTTTAACTTCATATTTATATAAAAAATGCACCTATTGTTATCATAACACTGTCCTGTTGACTGTTTTTCCTGTCCTGCCCCAGTCATGTGACGGATATTGAAATTCCCATCCTGCATCTGGTGCGTGTTTTACTGTGAAGCTTTTTGCTGGTAATTATGGATGAAAACTTTTACTGTGAAGCAGCTACACGGCTTAAACTGTATATATAAATCTATAAATTTTTCAGTACTTTTTATTGTCAACAGAACAGGATATTTATTATACCTGCTGGACAACAATGGGACTTGTTTACACCGCAAGTAGAACCCCTCTGCAGCCAGTGTCTGCCTTCTTTCACTGTAGTGTCATGTGGCATAAGCTTTACCTGGCAGAGTTTGAGAGTCAACAGTGGAAGCCGAAGTCAGCGGATGATGTGGCGCCGAAGGTTGACCCGGTGCAGGTGGAGATTCGGTCGGCGGGCCACTGGAGGAATATGTATTTCAGGAGCATGGCTGGACAGGAACTGAACAAGTGGAGGAAAGAGCTGAAGGACATCAGCCCGTACACTGGGCTGCCCAGGCAGACTGAGTGGGTCCTCAGGTAAGAGACAGAGTTTATGTTAATGTTATACTGTTTCATTACATAATGTTGTCATATTTCTACATTAATACAGGATAAATATTATATTCTGGTGTTACAGTGGTTAACACTGTGGCCTCACGGCAAGAAGGTCTGGGGTTTGTCATCCGAGGCCTTTCTGTGTTTAGTGTGCATGTTCTCCCGTATATCATATTAGTCTTACATGCTCTTTACTAAGCTGACGGGTAGGGCTGGACGATTTGGGGAAAATATCTAATTGTGATTTTTCTGCCAGATATTGTGATTACAATTCTATTCTGAGTTTTGCTAAAGTTCAGTATTCACTGCCAGTCTATTTGTGACGGAAGCCGCGTCAAGCAGCACAGAGCAGATGAACCAGGCAGGAAGTCAGTCACAGAACGGCAGAGAGAATCCGGTCGATTTTCAAAATAAAACACTGTATGCAGACTCTTGATCGTACATTAAAAATAAACACAGTTTTAGAAGAATTATTCCTGCTGCTTTTCTTTCAGTTACTTATTTAAATTAATTATTATTCCAGCTCTCGTGGCTGTGTTGTGTTGCTTATTTAGAGTGTGTGACTGTTTCTTGTTTTCATTTTTCTCTTAGTTGTCTTACTATGTCAGCTGTTTATTGCTGCTGTTCGGCTGGTTGTCTTTTACTATTATTATTATTTTTATTGTTTGTTTTTGTTTGTGTTTGTTTGTTGTTGTTGTTTTTCTCCTCCCCAAGCCCCCCTCTCTGTTCTATTGCAGGTTTCGTTGCTTTCTGCAATTGGTGTTTCCCACAGCTTTTCCCTGTTGTCCCCACCTTCCATCCCCCTTCTCTTACAGGTGTTGTCCTTTCTCTGTGCTGTCTGTTTGTGCCCCCCCATCCCCGTGTCTGCCCCCCTGTCCGGCCCGGTGACAAATCAATCCATAATTAAATAAATAATAAAACAGACAAAGGAGTATTTTAATACTCTCTTGTTAAAGTAAAATCTGTCTGGCACAATATGGTATCCAGCTCATCATACTCTATACCAGGCTGCTGGGCAGGACAGGGTTAAAAATACATAGATAAATAAATAAATAAACACAGTTAAAACGGACCAAAAAAAGAACAATTTAACAATGTAGCTATTTAACCATAGTAGACGCACAATAATCAAGGACAACTGAACAAGTAAGCAAAATCTGAACAAGTCAGCAAAAAGCTCTTATTCTGAAAGGCTTTTACGTGGATGTGTAATGTTAGCCTGCAGAGAGCAGGGCGTGCTCACAGACAGCTGTTATCTGTAGTTGAAGCACACAAAATGAGAAATTAACAACGTAGGGCAGCTAAACGCTCCGCTGCTGAAACACTTCAGTGTGAGTTGATGCCGGAAAAAAACGCGGCACAGCAGCCGCCTGTGTTTGTTCGACTGGCGCCATTATCCCACTTTTTCCTCCAGTTTCGTTAGGTTGATTGGTGAGTAGGGCCGTGATAGGAGGCACATGGCGGAATGAATTTTTAACTGCATGACTGTTTAAAACGGGTCAGATGTGCTGTTTAATTAACCTACATTTAAATCGCCGTCTTCACGATTAGCTAATCGCGTTCTTTCAAATCACAATTTCGATTTGAAACGATTAATCGTTCAGCCCTAGTGACGGGTCGTGAGTACCCTGTGAGTATGTAGTGCCTCCCTTGTTAAGTTTAACTCTTTTACTCTTGCATAGCTTCTATTTTATTTTTATTCTCGGCTATTGTAACAGCATCAGATCTGACTTTTTATTTCTTTTTATTATTGGTTCAAGTTCATTTCTATAAAATCACCATAAGGACTTAAGACTTTTTGTAGATAGATAATCCGTCTTAGTCACATTTAGTTCTCTGTTGTCATGGCGGCGCAGCGACCAGCACAAGCCCCACATCGACCAGCTGTTATTGTCCCGACCTTGAAATTCTCTTTGCCGGTCTGCGTGGTATTTTGGTGCCTGGCCCAGTGCGCACACCGCACAGGTGGGAGGATTCCCATTAATCAGCGAGACTATCGCGGCTTCAAAATGAACCGGAAATATTTTTAATAATAACATTAGACATCTAATGTTGTGTTTTGCACCTCTGCTGTAAGCTCGTACCCTCACACACTTTGGCATCTTACTCCAGACTGTTCCCCCAGAGCTCGGATCAACAACTAGCGGCCCGCGGACCTCATTCGACCTTCTAAAGCTTCCCATTCGGCCCTCAGAATGGCCACTGATGAAAGTATTGCAATATTAATATATTTGCAGTATTAGAAACTGTGTATCTGTAGTGTTGTCACAGGCAATGCAATGTTTTTGTGAGTGACTGTTATCATTTATCAAAAATGCTTCTACAAAACAGGTCATTTTCAACATTTTATGACAGCGGACCAGTTTGAGGTATTGCAGTGAGTAGACACAGTGAGCTGACAGGAGAAGAGCTGCAGGCGACTGCGCACTTCCACTTTCTCAGCCAGGAAACGTTAACCTACTCCTTTGGCAGTTTGCAGACTCATGTCCTGTGCAGAACAAAGTCAGATCATGACTGCTCACACCAATTATTGCCTGATAAGTTTCTTTAGCTGCCCCAGACGTCTGTGGCCTGTGATTGGCCTATTAAGCCACATTTGCTGTTACCACCAGTAACTAACTAGGTGTCGCATGCACAATAATGTTACATAATAGCAGACTGAATAAAAAAAAAGGTTGATTAATATTTCCTGACAATCAGAACTGTATCCTGCCTTTACATTTATAATGACAGATTTTAATCACTCCTCAGTGACCAGCCTCCTTGGCAAAAGTCTGAGAGCATTTACTAATTGAGTAGACTAGATATCATTATGGATTTACCATGTTTTTAGGAGTCTGTTCACATTTTTATATATATATATATATATATATATATATATATATATATATATATACACACACACACACACGAGTTGTTGGTATTTTGGGGGAAAAGTGGGCCTGAGAATAGATGTCTCAGAACCACTTGTTAGATGTTGTTCTAAAGCTCTTTTTTCACCTGCTTTTGTAGTACTTCACATGATAAAGAAAGAGATTATCGTATCTAAAATGAGCTTTCTAATGCTGTGAACCAAAGCGCTCTGTTTAAATACAGAATCTGGACAAATAAGTCAAATTTTAGCCTTGTGTTGTGTTTTTTCCAGGAATCTGAACGTGAGCTGGGAGCTGACGGTCCGTGATTGTTGGGGAAAGGAGATCACGCTGGCGCAGAGCCGAGCGTATTTCTTCGAGTCATCTGTGATCGTCCGCTTTAGTGGCGTCGGCTTGCTCAAGTACCATCACATCAGTAAAATCCAGCTGCATGGAGTCCAGAAAGATGCGCTGAAGGGCCCCAGAGGCAGGAAGTAAGATACGCTTCCACGCCTCTTTTACAATTCCTCATCCCTTGCACCGCCACATCTTCACCACTCCCTCCTCTTCCTCAGGCCTGGCTGGCGCTCTCTGATTTCACAGCTGGACGTGAAGACTCAGCCCAGTCGGTTGATTGGCAACGACGTCCTGATCAAACTGATGTATCTGTTTCCCAGCTTCATCATAGGCATCTGGAGGGTAAGTGTTCAGTTGATGTTGCTGGTATCCCTGGAAAGTTGTTGATCTTAAGAATATTTTAAAATAAAGGGGGGGGGGTTACGCCAGCTGTAAGCAGGGGCTACGCCAGCTGTAAGCAGGCTGTAATCAGGCTGTAATCTAAGAGAGCGAATAAACTGGAGTTGGATAAGGGTTCGTGGGTGGTGATTGCACAATGGATAAGACGCCTGCCTTTGGTGTGAGAGACCCGGGTTCAATCCCTAACTGTGCGCATCCACCATTGTGTCCCTGAGCAAGACACTTTAACCCCTTGTTACTCCAGAGGCGTGCGACCTCTGACATGTATAGCAAATGGAAGTCACTTTGGATAAAAGCGTCAGCTAAATGGATAAAAGCGAAATATTTATTGCGTGTTGAAGTGATTGGAAATATAGCTGGGTAAGAGCGAGGCAGACTGGAACTGCAGCTGAGAGTCCAGAGGGTGAGAAGCTGAACTGAGCAGGTCCAGAACAGATGATGTGAATATATTAACCGGGCAGGGGTCCAGGGAGAGCAGACAGGATGAGCGCAGTTTCCGGTAGCGGAAAGTATTATCGATTGAATGTTCAGGTCCAGCCCTAGTGATAACATGTAGTGGATGTCAGTCCCTCCAGGATTTTGCGATGTCACGATCGCAACTATTAGCACAAATTTAAGAAATCCCTGTGAATTATGGAGACCTACATCCCCGAAAATTTATCACCCGCAAAACGATGTCACGTGTCAGCTTGCGATTTACTTCTTTACAGCGTCACATTTGCTGCTGCATCTCGGTGAGCTGCAAGTGCTGAAATAATCAAGATAAACAGGTTTAAATATGCAGGGTTAGGGGTGGTGTTATGCTCGCCACACACAAGACATGTAGAAACAAAGGTTCAAATGTTTGAAATTAGAATAAAATAATAAAATAGAACAAAGTATATATAAACATAGCTCTAAAGTAAGAAATAAAGAGGAAAAGGGATCACATACAGTTACATATACAGTGTTAACAGATATAAACACAAAGAATATGTGCTATATTAGTGTAATATGCTGAATGAATGTTGAATGTAGATTGTACAATTTATTTAACCTGACTAATGATCCATTTCCCTGTTTTTATCACGTGAACATAAACAAAATGATTGTGTTTGTTTGCATGTGTAGGGTCAGAACGGTGTTGCCTTCATCATGGTCAGCCTGCACTTCCACAAGTTGGTGGAGAAGTGTCTGCTGGGATCTCCGTTGTGGTAAGTTAACCTCTTGTTAACTCTGCTGCTTGATCTGCCAGACTGACAAACGTGTAGCAGAACAGGCACAAAACGCCATCTTTTCCAAGTGAGATCGCAGTCCTTAATCCAGCAGGTTCTGTAAAGCCCAGTCAGTAGGTTCAGTCGCCCTAAATAGGACCATAATTTATTAAATGAACACCATTCTGTGTTGAAGAAGACTTGAAACTAGCGACTGAGACCATAAACTCATGTAATAAGTTCACAGAGCTGAGGCGAAGCATCATTTTCTTAGACGTTTTTGCAACCAGTGGAGTCACCACCTGGTGGTCATTTAAAAGAATGCAGGTTTAAGACTTTCACATCGGCTTCACTTTACAGATCCGGAGGTTGCTGCTTGGTCATGAGCCTATAAATCATAAGTGGATTACTCTATCTGCTGGTCGCAACACATCACTGCAGCTTTAATTTACCCAGCCCATAACACGTCTGAATGTGGAAGCCCCAAATGTTGAATGTTTAATTGTTTATTTTATTAAAGTACAATAATGGAAATTAAGCAGTATCTCCATCAAAAGGTGACATTTAGAGAGAAGAAAAGAAAATAGGAGTATAGGAGTATCATGTTGTGTGATTATTGATGGGGATTAGTTCATGGTGCTTAATTTCAAATGATTTAAGAGCAAATTTCATCATTTAAAATACACGTTTTGGGACCTTTCTCGAATTTCAAAACAAATTTATCACTTCAGTCTTAATTTTAAGAGTAAATATTAATTAGTGATTCTCAAATTGGGGGACTCCAATGTTATCTGTTGTTAAATTTAAAACAGATGTTATCTGTTCAGTTCTGTTGATAAGCTTTAAGCTGTTTCAATCTGTTTTTGGGTTCCATCTCTTTGTAATCACCTCTGAAGTTCCTCAATCATCTTTACCCTGTTAATCGTCCTGTTTGTCCCTCCCTGCAGCCCGTACTTGGAGCCTGTGGAGCCTCCACTCATGGATATCTCGGACCCTGAGTTTGGTCTGCACGGCTACTCTCTGTACTTTGTCCTGCACAACACCGGCAGTGAGATCATGTCGGGACACTTCCGCCAGCTCTCCTGTCACACATGTAATCCGATTACATAATGCAGTTTGTGAAAAATGTCTCTTATTCCTGAATCTTTCCTGACTTTTCTGTCACTATTTTAAATGTATTTAGAACTTTAACCTTAATCTTTGATTCTTTAGTTAGCACCACCCTGATTAAAATAATCCAGACAGAATGAGTTTTCCTGGTTGGTGGAGATACCTAAAGTTTGTTGTGTCGCTGTGATCAGTTCAGATCCAGCATGGACTGATGGAGCTGAGGGTCATCAGCCGGACCGACGTGTCCCAGCACAGATCGCTGTCTGGTAACATCAAGCTGCCCTGGAAGAGCGAGACACTGGAGGGCTCGGTGGAGGTACATCTGGCCAACACAATAAAGGCGTTACAGAACCTGCCGCAGAAATGCGACCAATAGGGATGCAACGATTACAGATTATTGTCAGAGAAATAATGCATAATAATCGTGATTAATTAATTTCACAACACCAGTAAGGACTTAAGTTCATTTTTAATATTTAATTACATTAACAATTATATTTCTATAATATGTAAGTATTATTAATATATGAGGAATTTTAACTTTTATCCACCAGGGGAAATTGTTATAAAGGAGGGGACTAAACTGAACTGTTACGGTCATCAACTCTCATCCGTACATGTGTTTTAGTGAAAATGAGAGAAAGAAATTAACTGAAATGCAGTTAATTGTCAGTCCGTAGTCCTGAAAGTCTATAAGCTCCTGATGTTTGTTAGTTTGACACCAGGCAACAGTTTCTCAGCACAGACAGGAGGAGGCGACAGGATGTAACGTTAAATGTTCAGTGACTGAAGGTCTTGAGAGGACTTCTTCATTCAATAAAAGAAGAGTTTTGCACTGCGTGGAAGCTGCTCAGCGCTAAAGTTCAACTACTTTGACCGCGGCATGCGCGCGAGCTCGCTGTGCGCGAGCTCGCTGTGCGGGGCACGTTGCTCAATGCAGCAAAAAACCAAGCCATTGAAAATAATGGGCTTCATAGTGCAGCGGTGCTGTCGTTGCGGTGGGTCTGAAAGTTTGGTCAGACTTGGTGTACCCGAAATGCTCCCACACTGCCGACTTCAGCCGTTTCTTTGGCGGAAATGAAGCTTCACAGTTTGGCCCCTCTGCCATAGTTTAGCCAGCGTACAGTAGCCTCTGATAAGCACGACACTTTAAGCTGGCGCACCGCTCCTGTAACTTTGTTTTTGTTTTCTGCAAGTTGCCACAGTTTCGTTCCGTGCAACAGAAACACTCGGTGCTGCGGAGCCTTTACGATCAATTAACCGTGACGTTTTAAAGCGCAGTTAATAGTAAAAACCGGTAATCGCTGCATCCCTACTGACCAATCACTACTTGAAAAATTATCAGAGCCACTTGCTGAATATTTACACCAACTGAGTAGATTTATACATATTTAAATAACAACTTTAAGGAATAATTTAACATTTTGAGAAATACGCTGATTTGCTGTCTTGCCAAGAGTTTGATGAGAAGATTGATACCACTCTCATTTGTGCAGTAAATGAAGCGACAGTTGGTAGCCAGTTATCTTAAGCCTAGTTCACACTAAACAAATTTTTAGCTAGATTTGCCACTCGGCGAGTAGTAACTTCTTAGGGCATTGTCACCATGAGAATGCCAGGCAGCCAGTGTAGACTTGGTACAGAGACTCCAAATTTCCAGTCTTTATAAGTGCAGTTCCTAAAATGTTATATCCTAAAGAGCTGTTCCTTGAAAACCCTGTTTTAGCTTGGACACGCCCCTCTTTGCAAATAAAAAGGTTTATCATCAGGCTGCAGGTTCTGCAGCAGAGAGACGTTGAAGTTAAGTAAGCTCCAGACTACTCCAGTTGATGTCAGCAACGTTTGTTACTGTAAGTATGTGCAATAAAACCTTCCAGAGTAAAAAGACGATACCTTATCAGGACACCTGTCTGTGAGGTAAATCATCTCCGTCTGTCAGGCTGGATGTTATTTACAAGCACAGCTAACGTTAGCTTGGTAGTCAGCCAAATGTTAAAAGCAACCTTAATAGAAAGCTGTCTGTCTGAAGCACAGACTGGTCTGTAGTCTTAAAATTTGCTGGCAGAGACAAACCAGCCGCCCCTCTTTCCACCAGGTAACGTTACCTGCAGCCAGTGAATACCAGCAGAGAGGAGGAGGAAGTTTTTTATTCTTTCTAAACACACACACACACGTCACTCACTGTTGTGATGTCAGATATTGAGTTTATATACAGTAACTTTTGCTGTTGTAAACATTAATGTTGCTGCTCTAGAAACAACAATTATTTGTATTTAAAATATTAAATTCTAATCCTATAAATAATTTAAAAACAACCAGGCAGCTAATATATACACTTGAGTATACATTACATTTAGTGAGTATACATCTCACTAAATAACAATGTTATCGCACATTAAATATTTTCCTCACACCATGCTGGCCTACCTCATGCCTTTTGTGGCTGGTCTTACCAAATAACCGTCACCAAATAATAGTAAAATATCGAGAGTGGTATCGATGAAGAATTGGATCATTAAGCAGTCTCAATATCAATAAAAATTAACGAACCCAATCCCTAGTGGTAGTAGTTATACTACTGAAGTGTAGAGAGAGAGCTCTCTCACTCACTCTCTAACTCTGTTGTACACACTAAAGACCATGAACAATTAATAGTGCAATAAAGTGGCTGTATATGGAACTAATGTGGGTTGTGATGGCACAGTTAAGACAGAAGCCTTTCACTGTACTGGTTTAGAGGACCAGGAAACTCAAGACCAATCGCATGTGCTCCAATCATCTCATGTGACGCTGCTCAGCCTAATCAAATCTGTGCATACCGATGCTTGCAAGTCGAGTCCGCGAGATTCACCAGAGGCGTTTTGGAAACACACACGAATTGAGGAGACAAAGGAAAAGAGATTTCACATGACTTTTAATCAAGAATGCACAGATTCTTACATGTACATTCCTCCCACAGGCAGTTCAGAACCAGAATATCTCATTATAAAATTGGTTAAGACTACACTTCATCACTTCAAGCTACACTTTTTACTTAATTTTTTCAAAAAATTAGGCTTTTAGTTTTCTTAAATTTAGAATTTATTATTAGAGTAGTTATTATTTATTATCCCTCCAGTTTGATGTGAAAACTGACTGAAATATTATTTGATTTGACAGTCCGTTGTTGACTAAAAACACATGTTGATACAACTATAGGTTATAGTACTGAATGATAACGCAAGTTAGTCGTTATGATGTTCTGGACCTTTTCTCTAACTGGACCTCTTAGAATTCTAATTGAACACTCCTGACCTAGTTGCTCCAGAGGCGTGCGACATCTGACATATATAGCAATTGTAAGCCGCTTTGGATAAAAGCGTCAGATAACTGACTACTACGACTGTGACGACTACTACTACGACTGTGACTACTTCTTCTTCTTTTTCTTCAAATTCTTCTTTTTCTTCTATTCAATAATCTGTATTTTTGTTAGGCTACTCTTTAATAATTGATCTATTGATTAAAGTATTGTGTCTATATCCTATATCTATCTTTAAGTAATCTAAATTATCCTTGTCTGCTATTTTTAAATTAACCAAACCAAAATATGAATGAATTCCCCCAATTGCTCACATATACCTAGCTGAAATTTGAAACTAAAGCTAATAAGAAAAAAACATTAGAAATAATCCAACAAGATGACCTCTTTAACCCATCGCATGCCATTGATGCGGTGACGATTCAGTCAGCAGACGTGCACGCACTGTGGTTGTAGACGTCTACAACTTAAAGGATGTTTCGTTTTGGGGGGGAAAAGGGTCACATCCCTTTTTTTCAGCTCTGATGGTTCTTTCTCACGCTGCGTAGAACTGCTGCATCTTATCGCTGACTCTGCTGGACGAGTTCCGGAAACCCTTCTGGTGCCTCAGCTCACCCATTTGGGTCAGGATGGCGAAGCATACGCTGTCCTTCGACTATGACGGCGAGCCCTTTCTGATGGATCACCAGGACTCGGATGGTAAAGTGAAGATGAGGCTGGTCTGGTTGAAAGAGCAGAAGCAGTTCTTCCTCATCAGCCTCAGCGTCTACGTTTCTATCTTCAAAGTCAACAAGCATTTCAGCAGAGACTACTGTAGCTAAACGGGCTCGCTCAGAGTTTTGGTTTATGATTTTTACAGTTCTGATGAAGTGACTTTGACTTTTTCCAGCGTTAAAATCAGTTGTTTACATTGTGGGCTGTTTTCAGTATAAATAGTTTATTTTAGAGGAAAAGATCTTCTAACATGTAATTTGTTGATTAAACAGACAGTGTCACTGTTGTTTTTGTTTCTATTACACTAACACATACAAAATAGTAAATATGTCAGTGACATCAGACTAGATGCTGAAAAAGCAGAGCAAAAAGATAAAATATTAAGTTTATTTGATTTCAGTACTTACTGAGTATTTATTGTCAGTAAGTTATTTTAGTTTGTTTATCACAAACACATCACAGAATATTATATGTATGACTAATAAATTGCTCTTCTTCTGTAAAGGTTGAACATTTATTTTATGAACAATGCTCAGAAAATAATAAATCCTTTTTTTCCCCCCATAAAGATTTGGCCATGATTTCTTAAAAATGCTACTCATCCGTGACAACATGAGTTATATTTTGAAGCTGGGTGGTTGAACCTCATCTGAGACCAGACCCTCCTCATAATCTACAAACACAGCACTGAGGACGCCAGTTCACAGAGCGACGTGGTGTTCATCATTACTTACCAGACTTATTTCCATTCCTCAAACATGAAGTCCAGTATCCATGTTCAGGAGTGATTTGTCCCTTTCTGTTGATCAATTCTTTGTCTACTCCCCACAGACACATCTATAAAATCTCTCATGGTTGTCCAGTAGTGTCACATCACCATGACGAGCTTGCTTTCCATCACCAGACAGGATGAGAATAGGATGTGCTGAATCAGGATCCGGAGTCACATTCACTGCAAACTGCTGGACACCCATTGGCTTGGCTACAAACACACACAACTATTATTATTTTTACAAAGTTAGATGTCATAGCTTTATCTAAATGAAATATCTTAAATCCTTGAGTGCTAAAATGACAGGGGTTCGGTTTTAGTAAGGACTACACAAACTATTCCTTCAACTTCAACAAGCGTTTGACCTCAATAAAGCTTAAACTTGTAGTGAGCCTATTTTCTGTTTGTCCTGAGCAGCTGAAGTTGCCTGCAGGCTGAAGAAGGAGGCTTTGTAGGCTTGGTTCATTCTGATTACCTGGGGAGAGAGCGACTTGCTTTTTGTGACGTTGCCATACTGTAATTGGTATGGTCATATCCTGTACTCAATTTGCATAATTAAGTCAGTACTCATGTGGCGCTTCTGTTTGTTTGTAAACTGGCAACTAAACCAAGGTTCAATTCTAAAATGTCCTCCTTTATAGTATTTTTTTTTGTGTTAATACATTTGTAATACATAAACCAGTCAAACAATACCCCAAATTTTATTTTGGAAGAAAAGCTTCTGAAATTCTTTATTTTTAATTTGTTCACAATGAACTTTGTGACGTTATCACTCGTCCTGAGGTATAAAACAAGGCAGAGAGACACAATAATTATTTATATTATGTCATTAGTAGAGCGACTGAAGAATGGGTAGAGTTTCTCAGTGAAGGAGCAGCCAGTAAAGGAGTAGAGAAGGTCTGCAACATCTGCGTCATGAAAGGAGACCAGACCATCCTCATAATCTACAAACATCCACCTTCTGAGGACGACAGTTCAGAAGAGACGGACAGGGTTTTAGTCAGTGGCAACATACTTATTTCCATTCCTCAACCATTTAGTCCAGAAACCATCTTCAGGACTCCTTCAAAAATTGTTTGAGGTGGGGTTTGTGTGTCTGTTATTAGGGTAGAGTTTATTGAGTGATGCAGGGGAAGTGGCAAATGGGCATGTTGTGAGCCAGTTCCCCAAATTCATTATAGCGTTTGAAAAATAAAGCACTGAAATTTGTAAAACCAGAACTGCAGGTCAAGAGCCACTTCGATAATCACCAGCTAATATATATAAACACTAAGTTGAAGTTGGTGTAAAGTTATTTATTAACCAGCTGCTCTCCTATTTTAATGACAGAAGGTCAGTGTTGACTGCATCAATGACAACATGATGGAGGAAATGTAGAGACTTACCGGTGTCAGGTGTGATGTTGAATAGAAACACTGAACATTGTCCTCGTGTAGCCTCGTGTCCTCGTGTTAGAAACTGTTGGTGAGAGGATGGGTGAGTCAGGTGATCAGGGGTGGGTGTGATTGTGCTGTAGTTTTGTACAGCCTCCACTACATGGTAGTAAAGAGTCATATTTCCAACCCTAACATCTAGAAATAGTCTCAAAGTCAGTGATGTATTAAATAGATAAAGGTAAAAAATTTGAATAAAGATAAAGTACATATTATGTATTATATTATATTATTATATATTAGGTATTTATTTTGCAGAGAGTCAGAGGATTACCAAAAATCTTACAGTTCATCCTGATGAACTAAATTTCATGTCAATCCATCCAACAGTTGTTGAGATTCAGTATTTCACAGGAAAGTGAACTCTGAACAGGTGACATTTATCAGATTGAAACGAGTGATTAATGACTGCTTTGCTAAATTTACACTCCTACAAACATCTTAGACAAAAGTCAGGGAGGTTTAGAATAAGAATAGCAAAATGTTTTTTGCCAACATTATTATTCTCTTTTCTCTTTATTAGTTGTTCTGCAGTCTTGATCTCAATAACTTCAAACTTCTGTCCTGTTTTTATCTGTCCAGGGACTACAGATGAACTCTTACAAAGACATCCACCAATGTGTCCCTGAGCAAGACACTTAACCCCTCGTTGCTCCAGAAGCGTGTGACCTCTGACATGTATAGCAATTGTAAGTCGCTTTGGATAGAAGCGTCAGCTAAATGAATTAATGTAATGTAAAATGAAAAGAAGTTATGTAGAGGTGTAGGAAAGGAGAGGAGAAAGGACAAATGGGACCCATCCTGTGGGAGGGAAACGGGTAGAGCAGGTTGGAGTGTATACTGGCCTGAGGGAGTCTCTGTTTCTGCCTCTGTTCTGGGGGAGCTCGTGTCTGTTGAAGACAGAGTTGTGAGTAAGAAGCACGCTGAAGAGGAATGACCAAAGAGAAATTAAAGCCATGGCTGTGAATAAATGCATCAAATACCTTTTATTCCTCTTCAACCTTCTGTTCTGGGTGAGTCTGGAAAACAGATAATCTTTTATTTAAGATATCATTTCAAACTTCTTAACACTTTGACTTTACAGGTGATGTTTTGGACAAGAGGTTATGTTCCATGTTTAAATCACATTTTTCTTATTTCACAGAGTCGCAGGTTTATTTGGTTGTTTGAAATTTGCCTCAGATTTGATGCAGGAATCACTTAGTGAGTTTTTTACAAGACTTCCCTCCACAAACTTGTTCAGTTTCAGGACGTGTCCCAGTGATCGGCTTCGGTCTTTCAAGTGCAGCCTAGTATCACTGCTCAGCCTGTGCTTAGATTTTAAATGAAGGAGTAAACAAGATTTTGTAATATTGTCTATTTTCAGTTTGGTTGTGACTACTCACAGGACTAGTTGGTGAACTACCATGAGCTAACAGCTAAAACAGGACTCGGCTGGCATCTTGTACTATTTTGTTATATAAAAAGTTGCTGACTTGCTCATCAGCTCATCTCTGTTGCTAACGGAAAATAAATTCAGACTGTTTATTCAGTTCCTGTCTTGCAAAACATTCCTCTTATGAGGAGCAGTTTATTCTGCGACAGAGGAGGCTAAATAAAACACACAGCTAATAATCTTCCTCCACCTTTTGGCTCTTCGTTCCCTTAAAAGTTAACATTGTCAAGATTTCACTGGATTAAATGCCATTTGAATGACTTACTATGACTTAATTTACTGTAACTGTGATCTGCGATAATCCTGATACCTTTAAACCTGATTATTTGTTATTCCAATTCATTTTAATCCTTTCAACTGCAACCAATTAATCAATAAATTAGTTAACCAATGACTTGACTAATCCCCAACAACTATCAGAATTGTATTCCTGATGAATTGTAATTTAATGAGCTTCAATCCTGGTAAATGTTCTCTTGAATAACTATCACTCCAAACAACTTTACTCCTGATCAACTCATACAACTCACGCATTAGTCATGTGGAGGCATGTTTGTGTCACCTGAAGAATGTGACTCCAATATTCTCTCTGTTAGCTCTGTTTTTAATGTGCTCTAGAAACCTTTTTGGTTTTACCCCTCAGTTCCAACGAAGGGAACCCTTTCCTGTTTCAACAGGTCCCTGTGCACAAAGCCAGCTCCATAAAGAAATGACTTCCCAGTTTGGTGTTGAGGTTCTTGGCTGCCTTGCACAGAGCCCTGACCTCAGTCCCATCCAACACCTTTGGGATGAACTAGAACACCGACTGTGACCATGAAGTGTATTTTATTTCATTTTGAATCAAGGTACTCTGGAGTGGACACAGACAAGAAACAAAAATATTCTTGCTGTGCAGCTGGAAGTTCCTCATGCACTCCAGGTTTCTTTATTAAGTGTCTTTTTTTTGTCCTGAGGGTGGCACTAGAGTAAAGGCCATGTGCTTTTTAAAATATAATTATCCTCTCTAGTCTCTAGTTGTTTAGTTTCCCGTTAGATTTGGAGATCTCTTGTATGCAGAGTTCGAGTTGCTGCAGGTTTTCTTCACGACACGTCGCCAATAAATTCAAGTGATGCTTGTTGCGCATTTAAATCTCACCTCTCTCCCTCTTTCCAGCTTAGTGGCTGCATCATCCTCGCCGTCTCCATCTACCTGAGAGCCGGCTATAATATAAGCATGGTGAGTCACAGTTTTTTAATAGGACTTGTGCTATGTTATTGTGGACCAGCGTAAAATACTGATTCACTGTCTCCCTTCACCTCCAGATCGCCAATGATACTCTTCCTGGCGTCAACCTGATGATCGCCATCGGAGCGATCATCATGGTGCTCGGCTTCCTGGGCTGCTGCGGAGCCATCAGAGAGAACCGCTGCATGCTGCTGTTGGTGAGGACTTGATTGGATGTTTTCTAACTAAAACCTGATTTTAGAGAACATTTTTTAACAATAAAAAGCACTCAGGAAAGGCACCAGTATTTGTACGTTTTTAACAATAATCATCTCTTTAGACAAAAAACATTATATTTCCTTGCACATGTACAGTTTATATATAAATTTAGCAAATAACTCATTATGATACAATTGGCTCTCATGCTTTCTATTAAAAATTAAGTTATTGTCACGTAATGTTGTATTTGCATCTTTAGTAAAAAGCTAGAAAACCTTTTCCATTGTTATGTATTTATTAGCAAATTTTTGTTTGAAGTTGTTAACTTTTCTGTAATAATAATAATTATATAACAAATAATAGATTGTGATTAATTGAAGAGATTAAAGTGAAACATCTGCAGTTGTTTTGGATTTCATTGACAGTAGCTTAAGCTAGAAATCACTAAAAATGATTAGTAATAACTACACTGTTTGAGTAGTGAGTATGAGACAACTGTTGCTGTACTGATTATACAGGATTTATCAAGACATCAGGTAAACAGGAAGTTTGCCGTTTCTTTCAATAATCATTTGATTTACATGTAGTTTTCACAGCATGGTCCACACTTCATGTACTGGTATAAAACAGAATTTGCAAGTGTTCTTTAGCGCCACATGAGACACAGGAAGAGAAGTTTAACTCCTTCGTGGCTGGTCCAAAACATGCGATTATTCATAGCTGCGTCTCCCGACCTCTGGCCAGTAGGCCTTCATGCACCGGCATGCATCATGGAGCGAGGGCCCGCACAACGCTGCTTGCAACTTTAATCAATATTCTTTTTTAAAATTTAATAGTAACCGTTGATATTTGGAAGCTCAGAAAATTATGTGAGTAGAGGAGATTTGGTTAAAGATTTTTATCACCATTCCCCCCTTTCTCTGTTCCCTCAGTTCTACATCAACATCCTCATCATCTTCCTCCTCCTGCTGGCGGCGGGCCTGCTGGGAGCCATAATATCGTCGAAGGTAAAACAGATAGCAACACCGTCATCACGTCACCCTGTAGTCTCATCAGTTTGTTGGGAGGGGTGGAGGTGGTTTTATGTTTATTTTGTTTGTTTTGTTTGTTTGTGCAGTTAGATGACTGGGTGAAGAACAGCATGCAGAACTTGCTCCCACTTTCAAGTCAACCAGCTAATGTGACAGCAGACCTGAATATCTTGCAGCAGGAGGTAACACACACACACTCTTATACGTGCTATAATGTGTTGTCACTCTCAAGGTCTAAAACTCTTGCTGTTCTGCTGCAGCCTTGCTAACGGCTGAATCTCACGTGTTTTTGTATTTTCCTTCCAGCTGCAGTGTTGTGGTGTTGTGAATGGATCATCAGACTGGAGTAACCAGGTTCCCAGCTCCTGCAACTGCAATGCCACACAACCAGCATGTTCAAACGGCGTCTACAGCACGGTGAGAACAGAGCACGAGTGCTTGAGTGTCACTCGGGTTGCACAGAAACACATTTTGTTGTCTATGATTTTGAATATTTTAATTTTTAGATTGATGTCCTTCGTTCCTGCCAAGCAGCAACTGGTGTCAATTAATATCACTGAAAATCAATCAATCACCGGCTTAACATTTATCATCTTGAATAAAAAATATAATGATGGTTTTGGTATCAGTACTGCACAGTATGATGATGTCATGTTTCGTCCTGCAGCCCTGCTCCACCCAAATCGTCAATGTGCTGCAGAAAACCATGCAGGTGTTGCTGGGAATTGCCTTCGCCATCGCCGTCTTGATGGTCAGCACACACACACACACCCCTTAACATTTTTTCATTCCCCATGAGAAACAGCCATGCAAAAAATAACCAAGGCATATACCTATATTAATAATAATAACTTCATTGGTAGCTTTTTGTTTTAAGTGAAGATTAAAGTTTCATTAAGCAACTTTAATAAACAAACAATATGACTACATATTTCAACACTTCAAAGGATATACAGTATATATATATGCAGTATAATGAAAACTACATTTACTGTGTATAGCACATTTAATTAACATATAAAAGGTGCAATACAATGTGCTTCACAAAAATATAAATATAAAATATAATATAAATATAAAATATATAAAAACTAAAAGTGTGGGTGTGTTTCACAATTAAAACCTTGTAAGGAAATGAAGGGAAACATTAGAGGGCTTTTAATTTTTTTGTATTAAAAGCATAATCGGAGTAGATCAGAAAACAAGCAAGCTTTATACAACCATAAAACATAAATGAAGTCATAGTACGAAAACATATGAAAATAGAACAAATACAGTATGTGTTAACTAAAGACAAAATATAATACATATTTTGACCAGACTTGATGATTTACACCATAAATCCATAAATTGAACCCCAATATAAATTTTTTATATATGGTGGCAGTCTTTAGTGTTTGGTTTTGATTTATTTCCTTTTCTCTCTGCAGATTTTCGGCATGGTCTTCTCAATGATTCTCTACTGTCAGATTGGAAGGTAGGAGACTGCCTTCACCACTGCCTGAACACCCACACATGGCCACGCCCCCTCGCTGCCTGGCTACAGCCAATCAGCAGTGCCCAGATGACCTGCGTAACATGCATCATTAAACCTAAGTGCTACTGTAACTTAACCCGTGCTTTTACTGTGAAGGAACACGCTGAGATTGTGGTTTAAATTTCATCTCATTAATACATTTTATATGAATATGGAGTCTTAGTGACAAAATAGTGGAAATGCTAAATATATAAATATTGTGGGCTAAAATGATAAAAGCTGCATGTGAAAAATGTAAATGCAAGAAATGTGAAGAGGTGTAAAATGAACAAATAACAAAAGTAAGTGAAAGTGATGTTGTTAGAGAAAAGATAAAATAAAAAATCAAACAAGTGAATTGATCAAATATCAGTGTTCCCATAACTGTATAGAAAACTATTACTTTATGCACATTATTCATCTTATTAGGAGACCCATTACTGCCAAAATGATAAACCAATAAATGTGCTTTTTGCCGTTTTCTGCCCTGTGTTACATGAAAGATGCTTAAAATAAAAATAAAAGTGTTGAATCATAGTTTTTTTTGGCAGGAATGGGCTTCCATAGATTTGTGTAAACATATACTGCTATACCGCTGTCTTGCAAAATCTGCTGCCGTCTTTGGTTACTGTTAATCCTCAGGAAGATGAACTTGTGGTGTGTGTGCTTGTGCTGTTCTAACATAAGATATAATAACAATACTGGCATTATAAAACAGTAAACCTTGAGTTTGACAAATATTGTTATATTAGACACAATACTTTTAAGTTCAGAATTAGTAATCTTGTGGAGCAAAAATGTATTTCTTTTTCTTGTTTCTTTGCACCGATTCTTGTTACTGGTGCATTTATGAATGCTTTTTTTTTTTTATTATTATTTTATTTTTCAGGCATTGGTTGAAATCTGTAAAGATGTTTTAATTTTTTTTGTAACCTAACTGAATTTAGTTTGGGAATGTGTCATACCATATAAGAAGTTCTCTGAAATATCTTTATTTTGTAGTCGACTACCACCAGGGAAATAAAACTATTAGCTTGCAACATGAAATGGCAAAGAACAAATGCTTTGAGAAAGGTTTATTTGCACGTATTTTTTTAAGTAAGATTAAACAAACTAGTGATTATAAAATTACCCCAAAACGTGCAGAACCAGTCAGTAACTTTAACAACTTGTTGTCACAGTTTCTATTTGGCCAAGTTTTCTGTTCTCTACCTGTGAACATGACAAAAGAGGAGGGAAGACTAAATCATGCCTGCATGTGTGCTAATTCAGCAGGGATGATATTACATGAGAAAAGTTGATCTACAGAAAAAAATGTGAAAGCAACACAGAATGAGAGCTGCACTGCTTTAGATTCCGTAAAACATTTTCATCATAAATTGATGTGTGAAAGGCAGAACAGGAAATGTCTCCAGAATGCAGGAAATTAAGTGTTTAGTGCACAAAATTTTCTAGGGGACCCCCAGACTCCCATTTATATATTTAAGCATTGAATATGATTCAAGATTTTCCATTATACGTAGGTGGTATTAAATTTAACTTTGACAATCCTGGGGGTACACTGAGTTAACTAATGTCACTTCAATAAAATATTTATGTTCACTTTTTGTTTCACACGGGACACAAACCCCGGTCTCCTGGTTCAAAGTCCGGGTTCTTGCTTGTTTATAAACTGGCAACTAAACCAAGGTACAATTTTAAAATGTCCTCCTCTATAGTTTTTTTGTAATACATTAATTCAGTCAAACAATACCCCAAATTTCATATTTGTAATTTGTTTATAATGAAATGTATCTGTAGCCAAAACACTGCATATTAAGTATCTGCATGTCATTAATTTTATACTGGAAAATGTACAAGTGTACATATTGTCAATGCTCAAATATATTTTTTGAAATGACATAACATTAAATACATTTGATAACAGTTTGCTAAAGAAAAATTGACCCACATGAGAGATTAATAAAATCCTTAATCGTCGTCGTCTTCATCTTCTTCGTTGTCGTCGTCTTCTTCGTTGTCTTCTTGTCCTTCGTCATCTGAAAGAAAGAGATTTGTCACATCCATTAGAAAATGTTAGCAACACTTTAGCTTGGCCTTTTTTCTTTCATACTTTTCTTTAGGAGCACCAACATCACTCGTCCTGAGTTTCTCAGTGAAGGAGCAGCCAGTAAAGGAGTAGAGAAGGTCTGCAACATCTGCGTCATAAAAGGAGACCAGACCATCCTCATAATCTACAAACATCCACCTTCTGAGGACGACAGTTCAGAAGAGATGGACAGGGTTTTAGTCAGTGGCAACATACTTATTTCCATTCCTCAACCATTTAGTCCAGAAACCATCTTCAGGACTCCTTCAAAAATTGTTTGAGGTGGGGTTTGTGTGTCTGTTATTGGGGTAGGGTTTTCCATGGGCCAGATATTCAAGTCTGGGCGCTTGCTGTGCCACTCAAGGACATTCAGAGAGTTGTCCTGTGGACACTCCTTTGTTATCTTGGCTGTGTGCTTAGGGTCATGGTCCTGTTGGAAGAGGAACCTTTGCCCCAGTCTGAGGTGCAGAGCGCTCTGCAGCAGGTTCAGGTTTGCATTCATCTTTCCCTCATTATCCCTAATTAGTCTCCCAGTTCCTGCCGCAGAAAAACATCCCCACAGCATGATGCTGCCACCACCATGCTTCACTGTAGGGATGGTTTTGTCCAGGTGATGAGCGCTGCTTAGTTTCCTCCAGACATGACGCTTGCCATTCAGTCCAAAGAGTTCAATCTTAATAGACTCTAGGAAGAGTCCTGGTGTTTCCAAACTTCTTCCATATACGGGTGATGGAGGCCACTGTGCTTATTGGGACCTTCAATGCAGCAGAAATTTTTCCATACCTTTGCCTCAAAACAAACCTGTCTCAGAGGTCTACAGACAGTTTTGGTGGACACATGGTGGATGGTTCACAGTGGGGAATTGAACCTGGGTCTCTCACACCAAAGGCATAGTCTTATCCTTTGCACCATCTAACTGTGGATGATCAGTGGAAACAGGATTTTGAGTGTCATGGCAAAGGCTTATGTATAATTCAGGAAAAATAATGAATTTAATCTATTTTGGAATAAGGCTGAAACATAACAACATGTGGAAAAAGTGAAGCGCTGTGAATACTTCCCAGATGCACTGTATGTGTTTTTCCTTCTCCCAACTTACCTTTTGTCCCAGAGCAGGAGTTTTCCAAACGCTGCACCAGATCATTCCTGACGATCTTTTCTAAAACCTTGAAGGTCACCTTCAGAGCTCCAGGATCCTGATATGTCTGAACCATTGGATCCACTGTGTCAAACCTTTCTGCCATCTCCAAAAGAGCTGCAGGGATGCCTGAAAAGTCTTCCAGGTTGTCATCCTGCTTTAGGAACCACTTGAACTGCTTGAACTCGTCGTCTTTTAGTTCCAATAGAGTCGTCCAGAGCTCTTCTTTAAGTTTCACCATTATGGCTCCCTGTTCACAATAAGAGACATTTTCAATCAGAGGGACATCCTGTTTTTTCACTTTATTGGCTCTCACAAATTTGTATTTCATAAAAATAGAGTATCATTTATAATGTTGCTCCAGGTTGTTATAAGTTTGAGTCAACAGTAGTGTTTGAATCTCTACTTGTGTTACAGAAAAGTGTATACAAACAAAATGAATGGGACTAAAACAATTACCTTTTAAAACTTTTTTTTAGTTTTACTTCACATACCTCTACAGGGGTTTATAAATGGTCAGTCGATAACACTGGATGCTGAGGGGAGCAGTTCACAACACCTAGAATGAAAGTAAAGATTATTGGAGACTGCACTTCATTCTCATTCCTGGTGCTTAACCTGCTGATCAGAAGCTGACAGGTGTTAATATACACACTGCTTTGCAGGCAGGAAACACCTCTGGAAAAGTCAGCACACGCCACATTAGGTTTGTGAAAGAAGTTTCCTGGAAGTGTTGTGTTTTCCGACTCCCTTGCCCTTCACAATTTAGGTGCTTTGTATACAGGTGTTGTGTCACTGCATTGTTTTTAAAGAAGGGGAACTCTGTTTTACCCGAACCGAATGTTAGAAGTCTAAAAAATTGCCAAAACTCAACTAAAACTTACAACCAAACATATACTCAGCAGCCCAGATAGGGCACATACAGCCCTTCGTAAAACGGGTAGCTCGTAGCTAGTGGTAAAATGAACGTATATAATGGCTTTGACTTCGAATTCCTTTGCACAGATCCGTATCTAACCTAGCAGGCAAGCACAAACAAGAGAAAACCACTTAAACAGTGGATTTTTTCAAACCACCCAGAGGTCTGTTGTATAGCTGCTCTTTTTTTATATTATTTGTTGAAAACATGTTTACTGCATTAATGCTCAAGAAAGGATAGTTTGGTCTCATCTGGTTAAAATTCCTGTATTTTTTCATATCGCAATATAAATTAAAAAAAAAAAGAAAAATATTGCAATGTCAGTTTTTAGTTGAGAGCATATTTAATTTCATGCAGCCCTGTTGCACTTTGCCCTGCTGCACATACAACAAGCTTGAAAGCGCCCAGTCCATGTGCCAAAGACTTACTGCTTTGCTATTAAAATATTGCCCAGAGACTCAAATAGTTGACATTATAAATGACAACACAGTTTAGCAAATTATGAGAAATATATGAACATCAAGACACTCAAGACAAGCCTCGGGGCCCTGACAGCAAACGCTCTGTCCCCTTTAGTTTTCAGTCGAGACTCTAATATTTAATATAAAAGGGCAAATATGAGTTTCTCTCTTTAAAACCCTTTTTCAGCCTAGAGTTTTTTTTGACATGACATTTTCTGACATGATATTCTGTGACTCCAGTCATTTTTGGCAATGTGTCACGGTCCTGTCCTGAGCTTGTCTGTGTTGTATTATTTTGGCCATGCCTTCTCTGCGTTTTCATTTTGGTTTCTCTGTGTCTGGGTTTCAGTCCTGTCTATTGCCCTGTGTCCAGTATCTGTTGACTAACTATTAGTCTGTGTTTTGGGGTTCAGTCATGTCTTGTGTCTAGTTTACTGTGTGTGTGCTGGGTGGTCTGGTACTGTCTGCTTGTGGGGTTATGATTTGTTTACTTCATTATGAGTTTGATCATTCTGCTTTAGCCTCCGTGTAGCCTTGTTTATTATTTTATTCATCCGCATCTTTAAGCTTACTTAGTATCTGTCTTGTATCTTAGGTTTAGCTCTGTGTCTTAGCTCCTCGTTCTGTGTCTCGGTTCATGTCTTAGTGTTTTCTCCGGGTCTGTGTACTTCTGTGTTGTTTTACTCATGCCTGCTCTGAGTTCTGTTTTATACCAGCCTCAAACTGTTGGTGTTAGTTTTGTTGTGATCTGTTTGCTTGTGTCTGAGTAAGTTTGATTGTTATTTCTGATCTGTTACATCTTGTGATATGGCCTTTGTTTAGTGTTCAGTAACCTGCGTTGTGCCTGTTACTCCAGTAATCCCTCTGCATGTCAGTCTCTCTGTTTTCCCCTGCTCTCTCTTTTGAACATTACCTGCGTTTTGGGTCCACCAACCTGCTCACCATGCCGCACCCTGACACAATGATTAAGTCATCGGTCAGTTTTTGCAATTAAGACGTCAGGAGTTGTTTAAAACTTGTTTTTCTGTATTTCTACTGTACAAGCAAAACACGTCCCATCCTAAAAACCTGACATCTAGGCTTCAGCTAAATGAATAAATGTAAATGCAAACCACCCATAATACACTGCTCTCGTAACAGTCTCATTCTGTGAATACTCAAATATATAGCCCTTAAACATAACACGCCCCCGTGTACTTTCCAGAAATGTTTGATATTTGTCACCTCTTAGTTATTTTCAAGTTGGCACAACAGCACAGGGCAATGTAAAAATAAAGGCAAGGCAAGTTTATTTGTATAGCACATTTCAACAACAAGGCAATTCAAAGTGCTTTACATCAAACATAGACACAACAAAGGGAAACTGGGAAAAAAACACATTATAAAATGGTAAAATAGAAAATAAAAACATGATTAAACAAATATAATAATAAACAGGGTAAAACAGGACAGTAAAAGTTACAGTGCAGTGTACAATCAGGGTTAAAAGAGTTAAATGGAAAGTAAAAACAGGCTGAGGGGTTGAGCAAATAATTGAAATCTTTTGAAAAGAGAATAAACAGAGAATTACTACCCTCTCTAGCTAGTCTGTACTCGGGTCCATAGCAATCTTTGGGTCCACTGAAACTCCAAAAACCCTCGGACACTACAGAGAAACCAGGACATGTCACTCAGGTGTGAGATTTAAGACCACTTCCTTCACTCTGTTCAATCTCACTCTCATTATCTTTTCACTCAATTACCTACTCATTTCTCACTGTGTAAATATTTAATTAAAGGCAATGGTAAAAAGAAAAGTCTTCAGTCTTGATTTAAAAGAACAGTTTCAGCAGACCTGCAGTTATCTGGGAGTTTGTTCCAGATATATGGAGCATAATAACTGAACGCTGCTTCTCCTTGTTTAGTTTTGACTCTGGGGAGGTCTGGATGGTTCGTAACGAAGCAGAAGATCAGAAATGTATTTCGGCCCTAAACCATTCAGTGCTTTATAAACTAACAGCAGGATTTTGAAATCAATTCTTTCAGGAAGTCAATGTAAAGACCTCAGAGCTGGAGTGATGTGATCAACCTTTTTGGTCTTAGTGAGGACTCGAGCAGCTGCGTTCTGAATCAGCTGCAGCTCTCTGATGGATTTCTTAGGGAGCCCTGTAAGGACGCTGTTACAGTAGTCGAGTCGACTGAAGATAAATGCATGAATAAGCTTTTCCAGGTCCTGCTGAGACATAAGTCCTTTAATCCTTGATATATTCTTCAGGTGATAGTAGGCTGACTTTGTAATTGTCTTAATGTGGCTCCTCAAATTCAGGTCTGGGTCCATGACTACACCAAGATTTCTGGCTTGATTTGTGGTTCTTAACATTACAGATTACCTCCCTGGCTCCAAAAACAATAACTTCAGTTTTATTTTTGTTTAATTGAAGAAAAATCTGGCACATCCAACCTGCTCAATACAGTTACTCAGCGCCTGTATGGGATCATAGTCCCCTGGTGAAATGGTTATGTAAATCTGTGTGTCATCTGCATAATTATGGTAACATATTTTGTTGTTTTTCATAATCTGAGCCAGTGGAAGCATGTAAATGTTAAACAAAAGAGGTCCCAGAATGGAGCCTTGGGGAACTCCACATGTCATTTTTGTCAGCTCAGATGTGTAATAACCTATAGACACAAAGTGGTCCCTGTCCTTAAAGTAGGATTCAAACCATTTTAGTACTGCGCCAGAAAGTCCAACCCAGTTTTCAAGTCTGTCTAGTAATATGTTGTGGTCGACCGTGTCAAATGCAGCACTGAGATCCAATAATACTAAGACTGAAATTCTGCCACTGTTTAAATGGATGTCATTGAAGACCTTAACAAGAGCTGTCTCAGTGCTGTGTGGTCAAAATCCTGATTGGAAGTTAAAATATGCCGATTTATACTCCTGTGTAGGGTCCTACGTGTGTACCTACGCCGTAGGCTACGCACGTAGCCATACCTTTATAGTTGTGCGTAGGTGTGTCCGTCGTTCTGCAATTACACCCACAAACGCTGGTCAGCAGTAGCGCTACAGCGTCCACTGTGTTCACTTTTGCCGGCCGAACAGGCTAACTTCCGGTTAAGTGCTCCGCTAACGTAAATGGGAGTAAAATTGTAAATGTGCGACTGGTGTAGCCTTTTAAAATGTTACTGACCGAATGGATCACATTCTCATAGCGAAACGAGTCATTTCGCTCGGGTTGCGACGGTCAAATATATTAATTCACTGTGTTACAGCCGCCGTTTTTGCCGCTACTAAAAGTTATTTCAAAGCACGGGGTACTTCCGGTCCGCTCGGAGGCATTGCGAGGCTACCCAGCCGACCAATCACAGAGCTTACGGTCCGCGTTGACTCGACGTGTAGTTACATTTTGGAGGAGGTGCACGTCAGGTGACGGCGTAGCCCCTGAGTAGCCCTGTAGCCTACACTGTCACCTACGGCCTCAATTTGACGCAGTATAAATTTGCCTTTAGTGCCAAGAAAGCACCAAGCTGCTGAAAAACAGCTTTTTCAATGATTTTACTTAAAAATGGGAGATTTGATATGGGCCTATAATTGCTCATTAGTGAACTGTCATGCATTTAGACACATTTTTGAAAAAATAAAGACAAAATACAATAAAGTAGGATAAGTTCTATATAAATGTATAAATATATACATTCTAGTACTATGGCAATACAAATACAGTAACAATTATGTCCAATCATTACAGTCAATTGGAATTCCTATTAGTGGAAAAAGTCCCGATGTGGCTGGTGTTGGATGTCAGAGAAAAAGATTTTAAATTGTGGTGGCAGGTTGAGGCATTGTGGTAAGGTGGCTGGTGCCAGGCCTCTAATGGTCTGTGGTATTTACAGTATCTGGAAATGTCAGTAGATGATAGATTCTTCTGATGTGCCAACATTGGCTGGTGCTTTGGCCACTCAGAGATAATTCTGTATATTGTATGTTGTGTTCCTCCAAACAAAGAAAAAGTAGGGATTTTCACACTGTTACTTTATTGTGCGGTATTCATTAACCATACAATGCCAGGTAGTACCTTCTATATACACACATTAGTGGTTGAATATCAATATGCACATCCCAACTCCTTCCTCAGGGGAAATAATCACTCTGGAGACTGTAGCAGTGAGCAGAGTGAGGCAGAATCTGTAACTCCATTTCATCAAAGAGAAAGTGGCACCATCTAGTGGCACAATCTGTTACTACAACCAAACCCCAGTACATTTTCTGACAGTTTCAAAGCTACTCTTCTCGTATTATTAGTAATAATCATAATAATAATACATTTTATTTCTATAGCACTTTTCAGGACACTCAAAGACACTTAAAACCAGAAGTTATGTACATTTAAAAACAGATAAAATACATAAATAGCAAAATATATGAACATGAATATATTGAAGTTTATGGGGAAGTAGTGAAGTTGCTGAAAATCTAATCAGTGTAATTGACAGGGGAGACGATCAGAGGGGTTGAGTTTTTGCCCTCATAATGAAGACCGGGGCTGAAGAATGGGTAGAGTTTCTCCGTGAAGGAACAGTCAGTAAAGGAGTGGATAAGGTCTGCAGAATCTACGTCAAAAAAGGAGACCAAACCCTTCTCGTAATCCACAAACACACCCACCTTCTTTGGCGGATATTTTACACTGAGATGGACAGCAGCCGTTCTGTACTTATCTGCATCCCTTAAACATATCGTCCAGTAGCCATTTGTAGGGTTCGCTGTGACCGATAGCTTTCTGTCGATAGACTCTTTGACGACACCTAAATCCCAAGAAGTCTTCCCTTCAACTTGAACCTCGTAGTAAAATCTTCCTGAAGAGAAGCTCTGCTTTCCCAAGACATTTGCGGCACAATTAAATCTTTCTGGGTTGTCTGGGAGGTTTTGTTTTACGTCACCACAGTAAACCTGTTTCCCGTCCTCAGACAAAATGAGGTTGGGATTTGCTGTATCAGGATCTAGAGTCACATCCTTTGCAAACTGCTGGACCCTGTGCAGCTTGGCCTTGGCGATCAGCTTCTCTTTCTCTTTGCTGAATTCTTCCTGCAGCTGATTCACAGCTGTCCCGACACTTCCTCCATATGACGGTGGAGGGACGCTGACTTCTGTCCAGTTCTTGGTGAGAGGAAGTGAGGCAAAGGGGACGTTGAGGTGGTTTTCGGTGCGTGAGAGTTGCTCCATCTTATTGCTTGTCTTTGTCAAATCGGAGATTTCCTGCTCCAGCTCTCGGATGAAGTCGTCGGCCTGTTTCTGTGCTGTTTTTCGCTTTTCATTAATTGCCTTGATAAGATAAGTCAGACTTCTCTTAACAGACTGCAACAAAACAGCGAAGACCCGCTCGCTGTCTGCGACATGTTTGTCTGCAGATTTGTTGCTGAGCTCTGTGGAGTGTTTGATTTCTCTGATCTTCATCTGTCTCTCCTGGATCATCAGCTTAATTTTATCCCCCAGCTCGGCCTTCTTTCTTTCATGATCACTTTTGAGAGGAACAGAGTCATGGTTGTTGAGGTCTAAAACAGAAAGGCAGAACAAGACAACATCTGGTCAGTCTTACAGAACAGCTCTTGGTGTTTACTGTGTCAATTACTATTCTAATTAGGGACGTCTGATAAAGCGATCCGAGTCACTAACTATCTACCAAAATACTAAATTTGGCTCACCTTATTTTTCATGATTTACATAATCCAAACACTGAAGGCCCTGATTCAAAACCATTCAGTTTATATGCATAAATTATAAATTAATATAGAACAACAATCTACTAGAGAGAAGACGTCTCACTCTGTTGTAGTTAAGGGAACTACAGAAACACTCTATTGTTGTACAGTGGTGGTACAGAGTGGAGCGTCTTCCCACAGAAATGATCTTTGGCTGAGTACAGACCTTGGCTGCAGAGAGACCACGATCCTGACAAGTTTAATTGTGGACAGTCGTCAATTTACTCTCAGAATTTACATTTGTTTTGTACAGTGGCTCGGGATAACTATTAAAAAGACTTTATTATTGTTTTGATTTGATAAATTATCCATTATGAATATATATAATTTATTAGATGCATGTGAAACTTGTTTTCCAGATATTTATACTTCTACCTTGAAGTCTTTCCAAACGCTGCACCAGATCGTTCCTGTAGATCTTTTCTAACACCTTCAAGGTCACCTTCAGAGCTCCAGGACCCTGATATTTCTGTACCATTAGATCCACTGTGTAACACCTTTCTGCCTTCTCCAAAAAAGCCTCTGGGATGCCTGAAAAGTCTTCCAGGATGTCATCATGCTTCAGGAACCACTTGAAGTGCTTGAACTCGGCGTCTTTTAGTTCCAATAGAGTCGTCCAGAGCTCTTCTTTAAGTTTCACCATTATGACTCCCTGTTCACAATAAGAGACATTTTCAATCAGAGGGACATCCTGCTTTTTCTGCAGAATGATTGATCTACTCTAACAGCACGTCACAAGTGCAACTGTTGTAAATGTGAATCTTAAATTCAAGTCATCTACCGCTTAACAAACTGATCACACTGTGAACTTTAGGAAAGAATAGACCAGTGACAAGAACAATAAGGTTTGATACGGGATAAAAGTGACCGGGGTGCTTCAGATGCATTTCCACACAAAAGGAAACAATAACAAAGAGTTACTGCGTGTTTTTCATATTTACCGTGATGCAACTTAGATGTTTTATTGGATTTAATCAATGGTTGCAAAGGAGACATGCAGAGGTGGAAATTGGAGACAAAAACTCAAGAATATCTGTCTCCAAAGCAGCAACAAACACCTATTGTATGGTTATTCTTGTTTCTCTTGTTCAATCGGCAGCTTTTTCGGTCACTCCTCTCTTTGATGCATATTTCTCTTTTTTTTGACTAGACTACAAGAAATGTCCAGGTGTCCAAATGATCAGGTGTCCAGGTGGGTGACGAATATAAGAAAAATAGGCCATAGCATACCGTTTATTCAGGTTCTTCCTATAATTTGTCGTCTGAATGTATATCAGATGTAAAATACACAGTAAAATACATAATACACATAGATTCGACAATGTAAAAAAGGCAAAGGCTTTTTTAAGGCCACAGGTTGAATGTATGCATGTGTGTGGGAGAAACTTATCTCCAGCCCTGATATTAGTTTGGCAAATAAAACACAGACATGCACTGCATAAAGTTGCCCTCACAGCCTCATGTCTGACATCCATAAATTAATGTGGTTAAATGACAAAATTACGAGGTGGGTTAGAACTGCGTCACTTGTCTTTGTTCACCAAGGACAAAAAGAAAGACATCTTTGAAAGGATTCTGAGGCCAGTTCTGATATTAAAATAGTTTAAAAAAACACTACACACTGGAAAACATGTCAGTTTATCTCTTAATCACCGCCTTTTACACTGCTTCAGCACAATGAAATACCACTGTGTGTCATGTTCCTGAGAGTAGTCTTACCACTTAATCTTGTTCAGGTGAGCTCACGTCTTTCTTCTCCCGTGAGACGATGCAACTTCTCTGCCGTTAGCGTCTGACTGCAGCCAAGCTTCCACCTCCGTAACCTAGGAAATATCAGTATGTCGTCAGACCAGAGTGACCTATGAGCTGTGGTGCAATGCTACGAATAGGGAACTATGGACACAGCATGGATGCAAATATTTACAGTGGAGCAGACAACAATCGTCATCTGCTGGCTCCACACCAAACATTCGCATATTTGAGGCCGGCAACGTCACTGATAGAGTAAATACTGAGATAAATAATCAGATAACAATATACTGGATGCTTTTTTTTTTTTATTTAAAGGGATTATGGTAAAAACAAGCTTACAGTTGGGTAGCTTAATAGCAGTCCAAACAGGAGAAGCTTAGGCAGGAAGCAGGTCCCACTGTGCAGGTGAGACACTGTCTGTTGCTTGGCTACAGATGACACTGGGAGGAGTGTCTCGCACGCACTTGTACCATCACAGTAGCTGCATTTACATGGACCCTAATGTTATACTAATTATCAGAATAATAGCCCAATCAGACAAAAAAGCTTCACGTCACAACCGCAATCGGAAGGTCAATCCATCCTTATCGGAAGGAGTTTTCATCAGTTGGGAGGGTTGGAGTAAATCTTTGTCTTTGTTTAGGAAAATATTAGCACCTGAACCATTAAATGTTTAATTCTCTCTGGTCGGAATAAATATGTGCTTTCTGGGCATGTTTGTCCCATGTTGGGGTGTCATTAGGTGACGTGAATGAGTTTCCAGCAGAGACTGAACAGCAGAAATGCAAATATTGTTACCAGGTCCATCTGTAACTGCAGCTTCTGATGAGTTGGCGTAAAGGTTAAAGGAGAGGTTCACAGTTTTTCAAGTATTTCTTGAAACAGTAGTCGGGTGCTCACGTGTACAATGAAACAGGTTTTGCTTGCTGTAATCATTCCTCCTGTTCATACTCTCAGACAAATCAAGTCCAGATGTTGAATTTTACATTGGAAGCGTTACATTAAGGCATGCGGACCTTTTAGTGCAGAAATGATGCTGAGAGCGGTGACGTTGAACCAGATCTGTAAAGTTGCTAGCTGTAAAACCGGAACAATGAACTGAAAGAGTTGAGAGAAACTGCAGAATCTGGTGATGATTCGGCACTATGAGCCACACATACAAAGTTATATAAGCTATTGAAATTATAAAAATATTCATCACCTTTAAACTGAACCTCTCACAGCATCATTTTCTTTTACTTTTCTCCATTTCCAAACTGGACATCAAGTGACATGGACAACTCGGAGCCATATAAATGTGTAACCAGCTTTGCATCATGAGCAAAGACAAAACAGACGATAGTCCAAACTGCAAAAGACTCTGTTCAGACTCCCTCTCCAGCTCGTTATCGGGTTCCATCAACATCTCCCAAGCCACCATTCTGCACAGAGGCGAGCGGCACACTCATGTCCCGCACAGGGAACTCCAGTCACTGTGGCAAAGCCAACAAGACACTCAGTTAACACTCTTCCCACGCAGCATGCCTCTGTTAGCACAGAACACAAAGACATGAAAGGAACGATTCTGGATTAACAAGCTCACAGCATGAGAGACAATTTAGTTTTCCTAAACAAACCCTAGATGATGCTGAAAAGTCAGTAAAGGACTTCCTGACCACACAACTCAAACTACCTGCAGAGACACTCAACAACATCGCATTCCACCACCCGCACTGTCTTGCATTGAAGACCACGACCGCTTATTGCAAACACAAAGACAGTTGTCCAACGACAAGAGAAACTGCTAAAAGAAAGACTTCAGACCCACTGGCCAGGATCCACAGTAAATCATACAAAGACGTAATAAAGTATTACCAATCCGAAAACATGTCCCTTCAGTGGAGAGATTAAACAGTTGTAGTTGCAGTTGTGGAGATAAGAACGTAACCCCCTGGCTCTTCTGGTCCACCCTCCCTCAGCTGCTCACACTAAACCCCTTCCCCCGCCCTCTCTCTGCCACGCAGACACATACATGTTCTCCTTATCCCTCCTCTCTCACGCTGTTAAAGGCACATGTTTAAATTATTAATCCCACCAAAGATTATTATACATCCCACATTATAGTACTCAACTTAATGCACATCCCTACAGTATGTGCATTGATCTTCACCAGCCTTTTTGTTCCGGTTTATGTGTATATTGTTGCTTCCGTTTTAGTCTCTCTTTGCATTGTTTTGTCTGCCAGTGTAGTGAAGACAGTTTGTGTGTTTTATAGAGCACAATTTTACAAATCTGCCTCAAGGGGCTTTACAATCTGTACAGCATTCAATGTCAGATAAATATTTTACAGGTAAAATGTGAACCATATGGGCAGAATTATAGTTTGCATTGTAGTAAAATAAATATTAATCAACAGATATTCTCCTTATCAAACAGAAAAATGCAAACACACACACACACACACACACACACACACACACCTTCTGAATTCAAGTTTCTGTCTTTAACCAATTGAACTAACAAAAACTCACCAAACCGTCTTGGTTTGTCTTTTCAGTCTTCCAGCAATCACCAGCTCTGGTTTGGTGGAAATAAACCCTTAAATTCATCAAGTTAGATATATAGTTAGATAAATTTTCTTCTTTGCTGCTTTCATTTATCGATTCCACATTCATTGCACTTTTAAATCCAGTCTAAAGACCTTCCTTTATACAATTGCACTTGAGTCCCTAATTATCAATAGAACAATAAAATAGCAATAACAGCAATTTATCGATTTATTTGTGTTTTTTAATTATTTATTGTACAACACTTTGTTGTGTTTAAATGAGCTCTATTAATAAAGTTGACTTGACTTGTAAATCAGGTGAAGATAAGTGAGGTAAAACCAGAACTGCAGGTCAAGAGCCACTTCGATAATCACCAGCTGGACAAACACTAAGTTGAAGTTGGTGTAAAGTTATTTATTAACCAGCTGCTCTCCTATTTTAATGACAGAAGGTCAGTGTTGACTGCATCAATGACAACATGATGGAGGAAATGTAGAGACTTACCGGTGTCAGGTGTGATGTTGAATAGAAACACTGAACATTGTCCTCGTGTAGCCTCGTGTCCTCGTGTTAGAAACTGTTGGTGAGAGGATGGGTGAGTCAGGTGATCAGGGGTGGGTGTGATTGTGCTGTAGTTTTGTACAGCCTCCACTACATGGTAGTAAAGAGTCATATTTCCAACCCTAACATCTAGAAATAGTCTCAAAGTCAGTGAAATTGCACCCAACGAAATGATATTGGGTCGGCGGGGAAGTAAAGTAGATGTACAGATATATTTTTTGCAGAGAGTCAGAGGATTACCAAAGTTCTTAGAGTTCATCCTGAGGGGAACATAAACATCTGAGCCGAATTTCATCACAATTCATCACAACAGTTGTGAAGATACAGTATTTCACAGGAAAGTGAACATGTTGATCTGGTGGTGGCGCTAGAGAAAAATTCAGTGGATCGCCAAAATCAATAGGATTCATCATCTGGGAATAATTTACATTTGCACCAACTTTGATGTCAACCCACTAGATGGGTTGACATCAGTTGTTTCCGTCTGGACCAAAGTGGAGGACCGACTGACTGCCATGCAGCAAGTACGGCTAAACACCATGCATCTTGCTCTAACAGGATGTTTTTTGGTGTCTAACTTAATATGACACCATCCCCTCATTGTCTCTGTCATGGTACTGACAACTGTAGTAACATTTGGATCCGGGTCCCCTGATTTTATGTTTCCGCCTGCTGATTTCTGACAGCAGCTGTGAACTGAAGCTGTGAAATTTGTGACAGCAGAACAGAGCCGATCATCTGCACGGCTAATCCTGAACAGGTGACATTTATCAGATTGAAAGGAGTGATTAATGACGGCTTTGCTGAAGTTGCACTCATACAAACATCTCAGACAAAAGTCAGGGAGGTTTAGGATAAGAATAGCAAAATGTTTTTTGCCAACATTATTATTCTCTTTTCTCTTTATTAGTTGTTCTGCAGTCTTGATCTCAATGACTTCAAACTTCTGTTCTGTTTTTATCTGTCCAGGGACTACAGATGAACTCTGACAGGTTTCGGAAATGTTTATTTATGTGTCCCTGATAAATAAACTGATAAATAGATGTATTTTATTTTTTTTTGTTTTGTTTCTTGTCTCTTTGGAGATATCACGCTCCTCCAAACTCACACCGTCATCCAGCTGAGACGATAGAGATAAAATGTTGTCACCTGATAAAAAGAGAGTTTGGTTTCGAGGCAGGCTCGTCGCTGCTTTATTTGCTTGTGCCCTTGGCAGGAGATGAGGAGGTAGGAAAGGAAACGACAAAGAATGACAGGTAGAGAAAGAAAATAAATGATGTAGAAGGAAAGCAGGTGTAGAAAAGGAGAGGAAGAACGACAAAAGGGACCAACCCTGTGGGAGGGAAACGGGTAGCGCAGGTTGGACTGTGTACTGGCCTGAGGGAGTCTCTGTTTCTGCCTCTGTTCTGTAGGAAGTCTGTGTCTGTTGAAGACAGAGAGTTGTGAGAGAAAGAAGCCGCTGAGGAGGAACGACCAAAGAGAAATTAAAGCCATGGCTGTGAATAAATGCATCAAATACCTTTTATTCTTCTTCAACCTTCTGTTCTGGGTGAGTCTGGAAAACAAAAAACACTTTGACTTAACAGATGATGTATTGGACAGGAGGACCATGTTTAAATCGTATTTATCTTGTTTCCCCAGAGTTTCTGTATCAGGGGCAGGTTTGCCTCGTTTGTCACTGAAGGAATTTTTTCCACTTAAAGTTGTTTGAATTTTGCCTCCGATTTGATGCAGGAATCACTTATTGCACAGTTTATGGGTGTGTTATACCGGTCTTGGAGGCAGAGATGTAGCTTTTTTATTTGAAATACTGACAGGATATCATCATTTTTAGTAGATTTTTGCTTCTTTATTCAACCTGTATTCTGTTTTGGGGGTTTTGCTAAAGTTAAACACGTGTTTGATGTATTTATTCTATGTATGAATTTATCTATCTGTATTATCTATTTATCTTAGGCAGGTGTATCTTCAGTCTATATGTTTAGTTTGTTTACGAGACTTCCGAATCATCACTGTCAGTCTTGTTTCTTCAGTAAACTGGTCTGTAGTAAGCTGGTAGAACAGGTTTTGTTGGATCTTTCACCTCTCTGCCTCTCCCTCCACACACTTGTTCAGTTTCAGGGCGTGTCCCAGTGATCGGCTTCGGTCTTTCAAGTGCAGCCTAGTATCACTGCTCAGCCCGTGGTTGTATTATTGTCTATTTTCATTATAGGCACTGTTTGCTGTATTGGGTCAGTGGGAAGTTTAATTCAGCCCACTCATTAGTTAGTCATAACTTCATCATTAATCCATTTAACCTCCCCAAGGATAGGGATACATTACACTGAGTAGTTACTAAGTAATCCCTCTTACCTCATGATTAACTGACCATTACTTTAAGTCTGTGTGCTAGGCTCGGCAAATGACCTCAGTATGCTTCAAAAGACTAGTTGGTGAACTACAATGAGCTAACAGCCAAGCTAGCGCTAGTCAGTCACAAAAGCTCTCTGAGCTTCTTTTCTATTTTCTCTGTACTGTGGTGTTCAATACCTCTGGCATCTTGTTCAATATTGTACCAAGTTAGAAAACAAGCTCGCTGACTTGCTCATCTCGGTTGCTAACGGATAATAAATTCACACGGTTTATTCAAAAGATTGTAAGTGCAATTTGTACCATTGACTCCTTTCTTGCGAAACATTCCTCTTATGTGTAGAAGTTTATTCTCTGACAGGAGGTTAAATAAAGCCCACAGCTGATAAGCTTCCTCCACTCTTTGGCTTTTCGTTGCCTTAAAAGTCAACATTGGCTTACAATTGGTCAAGTGCAAATGGATATACTTCACTTCTTTACTTCACTTGACCAGACCTCATAATATAAAGTTTAAAAAAGATTGAAATTTGGGGGCTTTGTCTGAAATTTTTCATATTACACAATTACCAGCAATCACTGTTCTCAGTGATTGGTCAGGTGTGTGGAGGTGAGAAAGTACCACTACTGAGTTAAAGTCTGTGTAAAAGCAATGAGTTTTATACAAAATAAATCCACAGAAGCCGGTACCTCCATTAAAGGCTTACACTGAAAAAATTTAAAGCTACTAGTTAATAAAATCCCAACTATAGACTGTAAAGGAGCATCTGGAAAACTGTCAACTTTTAAACTACAGAATCAACACTTGCAACAACAATTAATCAGCCCTCAATTTTACAGAACACACACTGATATTAGCTTATAGTAAAACATTTCAAAGTCATACTGTGGATCTTCAAATCCCTTTCTTTGCCTTCAAGTAGAAACTGAAAGTTTACACACATTTGACTATTCAGAATAGGTGGAAACACTTGAGATGTAGTCAGACAAACTAGTTTCTCTCAAACTCACTGGATCTCTAAACATTTCCTGGAGCTAAAGTGTGTAAAAACCTGACATCCATCCTCTCATCTGGCTGTAAATAAAAAACAAACAAACACAGATTTTGCAGAAAGTGTTTTATTTTAAAATGTTTGGATTAATTTAGCTTAGTATTTAGCGTAGATATGAAACAGCGGCTGAATGAAGAAATCAATCAACCTTTCCCTTACACATATTTTTAAAAAACAAATGAATATGTATCTTACCCCAACTTGGTACAGAGTTTTGTGTTCTGATACACCCAGATGCTAATAGCTAAAATTAGCTAAGTAGATATTTCTGTGAACGTGACGTTTCTGAAGCAGCTCACTCTCCTCTGCTATGATTACTCTACATTTTGGCATGTGACAAACGATTTTGTGTTTTTATAGAGTAAAAAACAGGAACTAAACACAGTTCCTCGCCACGTTTGTTGTTCCCTGCTTCTCTGTGAGCGGGATTGCCCAATGATGACGTCATCAAAGCGACTTACCCTAAGAGCATCTTGGGAAATGTAGGAACATTGCGTTTACGTGGACGCGTGAGATTTTGAGAAATCAAAAGACAGACCAGGATCTGGACGATGAACACAGACACACCAGAGGCAAATACTTAATTCAGAAATGACAGACTCCGCCCACTGAAACTGTGGAAACATTCGCCACTACAACTTGCCGGGAGTGTGAAAAAACAGGTTTCTTGTGCTCCATGTCAACATCACATCCTGGGTATGATCAAAACCAGGAAAACTCAAAACCGGTGTCGTTATGGAGCTAAAGTGAACCAGGTTCAGGTGTGATGAAGAAGTTTCGGCGACTGATGGAGACTTCATGTCTGGGGATATTTATTCTTTCTAGATCTACATAGATTCACTGATAAGTCTGTTGGATATTGGACCAAATTTAAGACACTTACCCAAATGAGTCACGTTGTGTGTAACTCAAGCCACACGCAACACTTTCTACACAGAGCCAGAGAAACAAAATAAAGATAATCTCGACCTTGGGTTAAAAAAAAACTGCGTCCTTATCAAGGCAGCTGCATCAGTCAGTCGACCAAACATCCCGAGGAAAAACAGTCTGACCTTCAGTTTTGGAGAGTCACCTTTGGCTTGCTTGAGCTCAGCAATTGACCCTATCACAACGTGGGGTAACCTCTGTCACAGTGCCCCTAAATTCTTTCACAGTGTCATATTAGGGTGCACGAGGGACTTTCGAGGGAAGGCAAGGCGAGCACTTCTGCAGCTGGCTGATCCTCAAGTATGTTTGTTGCTGGCTAACCGACGTATTTCAGCAGGAAGCAATTATTAAAAATGACAGTATTACAGCAATAATACCGCTTTATACAGACATAGAATATTGAAGGAATCTTTAAATAATTAAATTCTGATTAACAAGTTATGTTTACATGAATATAAAGGGTATAATGTCATATTTTGAAGGGATGTTTGCATTGATTACATTGCAGTAATAAGGTACTGATTTATCAACACTAACTAGAGTTAATTAAATATAAAGACATGGCCTGCTGATTAACAATCTGTGTTTCTCTCTTAGCCATAATCATTTTTCAATGGCAGTTATTAGCTTCTTCACTGATTAATAAGAAGACAAGCTATCAAGGCTACTACATTATCTAAGAAAAACAGAAGTGAGCGCTGAACTCAAGGCTTCAAAACTGTTTAGATATTCAGCATCACATCCTTTCTATGCAAGCATGTCAGAAATAATCGAAACAAATCCACCCTCAGCTCCGTGTCGTTTAAAATAATCCTGCTGTTTGAACGTCAGTCCTGCTGCCTGCTGAGGTTATTTCAGTCCCTCTCTCATGTTCCCAGAAATGTTGTTACATCGATGTTAACTTGATTTCAACCACTCAGTGGACATGATGTGTTTACCTAATGATGATGATGGTGAGGGTGGGGTCTGGTTGTTATTTACTGTAAAGTTTTTAACTTGTGGCTCTGCAGCTTTAAGTTGCAAAGTGATGCTTCCCATCTGCTGAACAACGCAGCACCAAGGAGCTCTGCAACCAAAAGAGGAACAGAAATCAAACTTGAATGCACTTATTCACTTAAGTATTGTGAGTTTGGCTGTGAGCTGTGAGCGCAGTAGTGGTGTCAACATTAAGATGGTGCCACATCAGGGCTAGAAACATACATCTTGGCTTTCACATCCTCGTTCTCTCTCGGCAAGTGTCAGTCTGCCTGCTGTGGTTTCTAGGGCTGAGCACATTAGAGAAAAACTCCTCCAAACAACCAGACATGTTGTCGAGCAGCAGTGCTTTTATGGCCTGCAAGGGAAAGAGGAATAACCAATTAGGTGCAGCTGTACATTAACGCCTGTTAGCAGAGTGCTCTTATACTCCATGAATAATAGATGCTGCGTTCAGGTACCCTACCTGCGGAGGAAGATGATACAAACAGAAAGAATAAAGGTTTAAGTCGCAGTACAGGACTGCCGTCTGCTTATGTTGTGATTGTTGGTTTCTACTTTCAGAAAGATGTTTTAAAAGATCTTGTTTTTTAAGTTCAAATATGTGAGCAGGAAGTTGCAAATAAGCAAAACGAAAACTGCTGATAAAAAGCTTTTAATCATGATTTTTCATCAGTGATAAGACACCATCTGTACAGTACGTGTACACAACCAGCTACAACATTTCAGTGCATCAGTAGGGCTGGCTTTAGGCTAAATTTATAATGCTATATATCAAAGTATGTCATGGCGTGATAAGATTACACTGAAAGTTTCTAAAGAATAATGCCAGATCACTAATAATAATAATAATAATAATAATAATAATAATAATCAGTAAGGATTTGGCAATACTATAAGGTTTTCACTTTAGATTCTACATTTTCCTGGCAAGACTTTTATCAAATCCTCCTATAAAAACTATTTGCTACAAACCAGCCCGACCAACATATCGCCCAGTATTAGCTAAAAATAACTGACAGGAAATTGGAGTACATAAATGCCAAAGATATGAGTTGTGCAAAGGAAATGAAAATTGTTCGATGTTAAATTACTGATATTTGAAACTCTCACATCGGTCCTATTATGGTTCATCATTTTCAAACACTTTTAACGCCATCAACAGCTATTTGAGCAAGATGTTTTAGATTGAAAATGGAGCCTGACTCGTCAGCTGCTCAGACTGTCTCTACTCAGATTTATTAATAAA